TTTTGCTACTTTCCAAAAATAACCTGTCCAATATATTCCCTAAGTTCTCCAGAAATATCGCTACGTTACCAGATGGTGGGCGATACACACATATTATGCCAAGCTTCTCATTAGATCTTCCGGAATTCATTGTAAGTCCACATGCCTCGATTTCTCCCCTAAGCCCCCAAATTGATACAAGATGTTTTGATGAAAATGAAAATATTTCCAGATGTTCACACTTGACTCCGTGCTCAGTCACAGCTGGATCCTTAGGTGGCTAAGTTTTATTAAATCCACAGACACACGTAGGTAAGGATAGATCAGCAAACTGGAAAGATAGCCTCATTACTTTTTTTGTACGCCCTGCTTGTAACGCTACAAGTAGAAAATCTGACTGCTTGTCCATTCCACCTTCTGCAGGGATCTGCCCCGTTTGAACTATTCTTACAAATGTACGACAAAATAAACGTGATTTCAGTATTACGGCGCAACTCCCCAAGTCCCAGAGCAAAAACAACGGAATACGAATAAGTTTACCCTGCTTAGTCAAGGGTGGCGAACTTTATGAAGAGTTACGACCATAAAAGTTTCTGTGGTCTGAAGTTTCGAATGCCGGTGGTCCGTGGAGAGATCAGTATCGGCACATACAGGACAATTAAAGGAAACATGCGTTTTAGCCACTCTCCGATGTTTTCCTCTGACTTTGTGCGACAGGCACTGTTATCAACTTTCAAAGCACAGTCAAGCTTTGCTATGAAGTCATTTGTTTATTTTGGCGACAAGATCTCAGTCACAGCTGTTGCGTGATCTGCTCAAGCGAATACTTTCAACCAGCTGCATAACCTATGGATGCTCCTTCCATGTTACCCATACTTGATGCTGTTTAGAGAAGGGTATCTTACTGTATTCTGGCACATTCCTCTCTTCTATGTAAAGCTGATCTATGTGACAGCGCTTTTATGCCGAGAATGCGGAAGACACTACCAGGACCAGAAGAGGTTTTCCCAGTACTTCTATCCAATGGCAATTGAAAAAACAAATCGTTGGGATGAATTTGTCTTCTTTGAATAAGTATAGATAAGAATAGTCCTTCTTCAAAGTACAGATCATGACAATGAACAGTTGACCGGGAATCACTACCCCAGGCGGTCCTAGGCTTTTCTGACTTTACGCGGTGCCATCTAAAAATTATAAGGATGTCTTTGCAAGATCCCGGCGTGATACAGGATCGTTCAGACTGTGATTGCAACATACTGTGCTGTAGCGAAGAAAAGAAAAACAAAACAAATGAACAGTAACCTAGAAGACAGATAAATAAATGTCATTGCCTTCATCCGTGTTTTGAAAAAGGGCATCGAGGTGACCGAAACGTCAGTTAAAATTGATTTATCCATATGTGGTTTTATTTAGTCAGAGGATCATGGAGTTTTATCAGATGGAGGCCACAGGATAAGTTTCAGGTCTTATATTTGCGTCAGATGCTTTATAAGGTATCTTTCTCTTTTAGTCTCCCCATCAGGAAATTTAATTCGGCTCTAGGATTCTCACATTTAACACCCCAGACTTCTTTCTTTGCGGATTACTAAGTGATATGTATGCAAATAAACCAAGTACTGTAGAATTGCTGAAGGGCATTTTCGAGAGGCTATTCCTTCTGAAACCTAGTAAAAGGTAGTGGAAAATGTAATCAAGAGAGCTCAGCTTGTGTGGCTTCCACTGTCGTGTGTGAAATATGGAAATAGGTGCGTAGGATTACGGGCTCGGAAGCGTATATATTATATTGTCCTCAAAAAATAAGATATTCCACCCTCACTCCCTGCAACGCCCAAACCGCGATTTTTAACTCCTACAATTTTTCCTTAAATGTCAAGTTTTGAGCCATATTTGTCTTTCAAATTTTGCCCTTTACGCTACGGCCAATACTCTGAATTTTAAAGACTACAAAGCCGTTTCGTCCTTCGCATGGTAGTTATCTCGTATTCAAATTTTAACAAAACCCGAACTTTCCAAGTTATACATATAGATGTCATATACAGGGTGTTTCAGTTTATTGTTGCATAACTTTAAGATTCTATAGAACTTTTAAAACTAATGCATAAAGTCTATATACATATGGGTCGAAAAATGCGTGGCTTACGAAATACAGGGTGTTTAAATTTACTTTCTAAAATAGTTTTTTTTTAATATTTCGAACAATATTTGACGTATAACAGTGAAAATTGGTATACAAGGGTTTTTTGGTACGACAAAACGAACCATAGTTTTACTGTAGCCGCTAGAGGGCGCTATCTACTGTACCTGTAGTGTATTAAAATGACCAAAAAAAGTTTCTTAGTGCAATTTTTTGCTTTTTTTATAAAAAAACTGATTCTTCGCACTTTTCAACATAAGAAAGCTTTCTTGTGAATTTTCGTTATAGTTATCCGTTTTTGAAATATTTCGATTTTTAAGGTTCGATGCATTTTTAATTATTTATGATAAAATAACGTTAAAAAGTCAGTATATATAATTTTTAGAAGTAGGCTGTTGTTTTTGAAATTGAAAGCAGAATAAGGTTAAACGTCAATTAATTGACAGTTAGTTTTGTTGTCTATTGAAGCCTGAAACGTTTTTTTGCAATTGTGAATGCACGAAATTTAGTTTCTTTTACCTGTTTTTTTTTTGTAAGTTTTATAAAAATGCCATTATTATTCTCCAATCAAGAGTTAGCGGATATTCATTTTGTGTATGGCTTTGTAAATGGAAACGCAGCAGAAGCAGCCAGAGAATACGCACGAAGATTTCCTAACAGACGACATAGAACTCGCTCAGTATTTGTAAGAGTGCATCGCCAAATAATTGAAAGTGATTTTGGAAATCTCCAAACGGATCAAAACATAAATGATCGTCAGCGCAGATTTACCCGTATGAGTCTGCGTGAGTTTGATAGAGATCCGACCACAAGTTAGTGTTATGAGAGTTTCTGGTGCCTTGAGAATTTCAGCAGGCCATGTTCACCGTGTTCTTAGAAATGACCATAGACGTCCTTTTGCAACCTGTACAAGGACTAGAGCCGGGGGACGGAGAACGAAGAATAACATTTTGTCAGTGGATTCTTGATAGAACTGATAATAATAGGGAGTTTTTAAGTAACGTTTTATGGACCGTTGAGTCATGCTTCACTAGACGTGGAGTGGTAAATTTTCTTAATCAACATATTTGGTCGCATGAAAATCCGCATGCAGTCCGGGAAAGAATTTTTCAGCATGGATTTAGTGTCAACGTGTGGATTGGTATCTACCGTAATCGACTATTTGGACCCTACCTTTTGCCTGCAAGGTTAAATGCTGCGACCTTTTTGGAATTTTTAAAGGCTGAACATGCAAATATGTGGGATGATGTTATGTTAGATTTAAGAAGATTGGCCTGGTTCCAGCTTGATGGTTGTCCAGGTCATCATTCGAGAATAGTTAGAAACTGGCTGGACGAAAATTGAACAGAAAGATGGATCGGCCGTGGAGGACCAGTCGCCTGGCCTCCACGATCCCCTGACCTAAATCCATTAGATTTTTTTGTGTGGGGATTTCTAAAAGAAAAAGTGTACCAGACTCCCGTAACCACAAGAGATATGCTAATAGACAGAATCAGGAATGCATGTGATAAAATAAGGCCTTATTTGAATAATGCTATACCACGTTCGATCATTCGTAGATTTGAATTGTGTATTGAACAATTGGGTCTGTTGTTTGTTCCTAACTATCCAATAGCATTTTAGTTGTAAATAATTAATTTAAGTTAAAAATAATATTGGAAAATTAAACAAATTAATATTCTGTTTTTTTGTGTTTATTTGGGGTTAGGAATTATTGCTGTGTTTAAAAACACAATCTAAACGATCATCTTAATTACTTGTAATGCCCAAATCGAAAATGTAAAAAAATGTTATTTTCCCATAAATAATTAAAAATGCATCGAACCTTAAAAATCGAAATATCTCCAAAATGGCTAACTATAACGAAAACTCACAGAAGAGCTTTTTATGTTGAAAAGTGCGAAGAATCAGTATTTTTATTCAAAAAGCAAAAAATTGCACTAAGAAAAAAATTTCGGTTATTTTAATACACTACAGGTACAGTAGAGAGCGCCCTCTAGTGGCTACAGTAAAACTATGCCCATGCTTCATTTTGTCGTACCAAAAAACCCTTGTATACCAATTTTCACTGTAATACAACAAATATTGTTCGAAATATTAAAAAAAAACTATTTTAGAAAGTAAATTTAAACACCCTGTATTTCGGAAGCCACGCATTTCTCGACCCATGTTTATATAGACTTTATGCATTAATTTTAAAAGTTCTATCGAATCTTAAAGCTATGCAACAATAAACTGAAACATCCTGTAGAAGTATCCTCCAAGAAACATATTTTCGATTTTCGCGACTACAATATTTCCTCACCAGAAGGCGTGGGAGGAAAAATTATTTATATCACTTCTTTAAAGTGAGAGATTAGAGAAACAAAGTTAGTCTGGACAACCTGATCATTTCCATGAACGACACAAAGCCCAGTATTCTGCTAAAATTGATATTAATGTATTAGCAATCGGTTATTATCATAAAATATTCCTGTAGTGAATATTTCAATTATTGAATTTTTGATCGGAGGGATATTTAACAGTTATTTAACCCTTTGACGCCGGATTTAATTTTTTTTCGAATTTGCGAATCTTTTTCTTTTAATATGGGTAAATGTGAACAATATGTTATAACTTTACACATTTTATTTATTTTTTTTAATCCTGAAATGCTTTAGAATATGGTTTCATTATGAAACCACTAGGTAGTAAAAGGAACTAATGATTTTTTTAAACAAAATTTTATTTCAAGTAATAAAAGAAGACAAATCCGATATTTTCCATTTATCGTCTGTGATACGGAAGGAAACAATTTTTATTTGCGTTGAGGCATAATCCAACGTTGCATCTGAAAAAAAAAGTTTTTGCTAAAACTAAAAAGAAGATGAAGCATTACTTTCTTTACCTGGAACAAATCCATTTCGTCCGGTGTGGTGATGATGTAGAGCTGCAATAAGCACATCTTCTTGAACTTCCATGGATTGGCATGTGTGCACAAGAATCATATCGAATTTCCTGAGGCTTTGAAGGTATTTTGTTGCACTGATGATATCCGCCCTTTCTTTGGAATATTTTCGTCTGCTCCAATAAGTCGCAAGCATACTGCTAGCTTGAAATGCTTCAATGTCATACATTTGCCGGACTTAGTCGTAGTATTTCGGTTCTTGAAAATTATGTATGCATTCACTAGGGATATGTCAAGTAAATACCAAAAAATGCGCAGCCACCACTTTTTAGATTTTCGATCTAATTCATAAATTGACTTCAACATGTCTAGTTTATCTACATAACCCATGTGCTTATTATACTCCAAAACTAAACGAGGACAAGCAATATCCTGCACATCTTCATTCATGTGTTCATCTGAACTCATCTTTTCTAAGTCGGCAAAATAATATTTCTTGTTCTGATCTGAAAAAAAAACACGGCATGCCTACTGGTTTCATAACGTAACCGAAGGTATTTTTGTATAAAAATATGAGCTAAATTTGGTTAAATTCAATCCCCAAATATTTTACAATCATGATCAACATCATATCATATAAATCATCTATTTACTTACCTCCCATTGTTTATCTAACAGCGAAAAATCCCCTATTTATTTTGATCAACCACCTGTTTGCTGCAACAACGCACACTGAACGTTATCATTACGCTAGGAAACCAAATACAACCGACGCAACTGTCAAAGCCTATCAGATGGAGTCTCAAGGGCACGTGACTGTATGAGGTTACGCACCAAGACCATTCGGCGATTAGAAATTAATTCTTATTCAGGTGGTTTCGTCGTGAAACCAGTAGGCGTCAAAGGGTTAACATAATTCAACAAACTACATGCATTCCGAAATTGTACACGCTAGACCGATCTGGAAATATTTGCTTACTAATCACATTTTCTACCCACAAAATTTGTATATTTCACAGAATACAAACTTGTTACAGACAAATGTTTGTTTTTTGTTTCATTATTGCAAAGTGTTGAGTGTTGTGTTGTGACTGTACAAAAATAATGTAAATGTATCTAGAGCCGAAACGGCATCCAAACAAAGGATTAAAAGTTTCGATAAACATAGCTCCCAAAATAAATCCTTTATTACCAAGGTTCAGAGAGCTTAAAATTCCTACGCCGATGATCAGACTCATCAAAGGCAACACATGAACGTTATGTCATTGCAGGGTGGCGATCGTCATATTTTCACCTACTTGCGCACAAAGAGTTTTTCAAAGGACGATACACTTCATCTGTCTTCACGACTAGACCTAAGACCAATACCCCTCTGACGAGCTGCTAATGAGCACGAAACACAGATCTCCGTAGTTGGTCATGGCTACCGAGGCGGAAGGCATCCTGTCAGCAACAGTCCTAAATATTTGCGTTCATTAGCTGGGATTACTTAATTAACAAACTACATTCATTTTTCATGCCAAACTTCGTTAAATTTAGTGTACTTTCAAAGCAGGGCAGAACTGATTATGGATTACATCTCAAATATTTAATCCAAAAGGAATGACCTGACAATTTGTCCAAGGGAGGCAGTTTATGTAAAAGCAAATACTTCATCTAAAGGGCAGGAGTCAATGTAGCGCAGTTTCTATATTACTGGTTAAGTTGGAATGGCATTTGCTATATTTCTACTTGTGCAAATCTTGAAGTCGATACTCCCCCCACCTACTAAGGGGTCTTATTGAAATTAGGGATAATTTTAGGATGTACGTTTAAATCAACTATCTGTGCTATTTTTGGGCCTATTCTCTTCCCAAGAAGTGCTGCCATTGATTTTAAATTGGGCTTTTCTTCAGCCATCAGCGGTCGCGATTTCACGTAGTGCTCCTTAAAGGTTTTGTAAAAAAAAAACGGGAAAAATCGTAATTTATAACTGCAGACTGGACAACATATAAATAACTCGTCGATACACCTAATAGGTATACTTCATTGGCAGCATGTTCAGTAATAATTTTCTCACACAGCAAATATCACTGATCTGATACACATGCCGACCAACACACATAATCATCCAGATGCGATCTTGCTATTCAACCTTCCTTCTTTCACGTCTCGTAGATAAACACTACAGACTACTCGGCTCCACAAAATATACTAAGTGACATATAAATCCGAACACCCAGTTTAAATGGTTTTATTTTGATAAAATTTTGTATAAGTACTTAATGAAGCATAATAAGTAAATGATAAAAATTTCAAAATGATTGCACTGCTTTAAAGCCCTTTGATCTTTAATAATGTGTGGATGCACCCTGAGGCGCTACGCATTCTCCAACGCACCTAGGCATGCTTCTGATCAGGTGGTCAATGTCCTCCTGTGGTATCTCATTCCAGGCAACCACCAACTCCTCTCGAAGTGCTTCTAGAGTCTGAGGAGGACGTTGCAAATTGAGCAATCTCCTACCCATCATATCCCATACGTGCTCAATTGGGGATAAGTCGGGAGATCTTGGTGGCCATAGTAACAATGTGACATCATTATGTTGAAAGAAGCCTATTGTGACTCTTGCAGCATGTGGTCGGGCATTATCTTGTTGGAACGTTGGATCTGCCAGGGTGTCAAGATAGGGTAAAAGATGGGGTTCTAGAACTTCGTGGATATAACGCTGCGCGTTCATGTTACCTCTGATGAAGATTAAAGATGACCTGGAACCATAAGCTATAGCATCCCAAACCATAACTCCAACAGTGTGATGAACATGTCTTTCAACAAAAAACTGTGGATTCCTCCTTTCACCACGTCGCCTTCTAACCCTGGCACGACAATCGTGCATGCCTAAACAAAATCGAGACTCGTCACTAAAGACAATACTGTTCCATTCATGATCCCAGAGTGACCGCTGTCTGCACGACTCAAGGCGATTACGTCGGTGTTCTCGAGTTAAATGGAGGACCCAGTGTGGCCGGTATGAAAACAAGCCAAAACTTCTCATTCGTCGGTAAACACTTCGCATGCCAATAGGTCTTCCGTGTTCTGCAAACCATTCATTTGCAATGGACCTGGTAGTGGAGAAACGGTCCCTTAAGGCCAATAATCTTAGGCGGAGATCTTCACGGTCTGTTGTTCTACGGCGGCGTCCAGTGCCCCTTGCTCTTTGCGTACGGCCTTCCCGTAGCCATGCCTGACAACACCTAACCACAGTGTCTACACTTCTTTGCACACTAACTGCAATTGCCCGAAAAGAAAGTCCAGCTTCCCGAAGTCCCACTATACGGCCCCTAGCAAACTCACTAAGTTGACGAAATCGTACAGGTATCCGTACTCTAGGCATCGTAACCGATCGTAAAGGATGTCAAGAACCAAAATCCGCCAACGTTGATTCTTTACTGCGGCTGAAATATTCATTTTTAGAGCGTTAGTGAATTAATAAAAAGCAGTATAAAAACCGGAATGTCCAACTGATAAGGCTGAACATTTTTTCACTTGTTATTTACAGTAAGATAAATACATTCATCAACTTTTATTAAAATAAAACCATTTAAACTGGGTGTTCGGATTTATATGATACTTAGTATATATACTTGCTTTCTGCAACCAGCAATACATGTAGTTCAGTTATTCCTCCATAGATGGACGCTTACAGCGATTGTAGCGAGCAAAGGTGGACTGAACTATTTGACCCTAAAAACTAACTTGCCTGCAAGATGACATCCTATTGTTTTTTTTGACGTTTCATAGGTTTTTTACGTAAAACGTCAATAATATCAAACTATCTTCCATGCTGGACGCTGCCACCTATTGGTAATTCGTGGAAAGTGGTACTGCCAACCACAATGTCGACAGCAAATATCCAATTCCGGTATCTCTAAATGACAAGCATCGCTCAACATCATAGGCGTGCAGTTAGTCAGAAGAGCACCAAGTGTAGAACATGCTACTTGCTTTGACGTATTACGAAAAACTTGCATAAAGTAGACTTGGGCGGAAAAGGATCATCTCAGCCTCTGTGGTCATGAAAAAATACATGCAACGTTGTTTCATGCTTTTTTGCAATCACCAGCCTACACCCACGTAAGAGTATTTCACTAAAGACGGTGCTGCCAAGGATTTCAAATGAGTCGACCGTTTTTCCTCAAAACTCCGTTTGATCTTCTGTGACTGTCTTTGTAATAAATAATCTTATCACTGCAGTTAATGAGCGACTTTATGTACTAATTGTAAGCATTAATAAAGTATCTAATTTAAAGTTTAATGCTGTCGCCAGGATAATGACTAAAAATAATTGCCTACCATTAACGACTAAATAACTAGGTACCTTTATTATATGTGAACTCAAGACTGTTAGCTAGTACATGACACTTTTAATATTCATTATTCTACTTAAACTGCATACCAAGGATGTCATACAAATTACTGTTTGATATTTTTGGCAGGATACTACATTCAGAACCTTCAAGTTATCCATCAACAACTTTTGTTGTTGATAAGGATAAATGTTCAATATAAAGATACTTTGGCAAGTCAAACATGGAAAAGTTATCATCTAACAGCAGATGTTTCATAACTCAGTCTCAATTTTTATATCCTTAGATTCAAGAGCGGTCGATAGGATGAATTTGAAATTACTAGCAAAAGGAAACTGAGGGAGGGGGGAAGGAGGGAGGATCGGCAACTGAAAATTAAAGAGCGGGGGGAGGGTATCGGTACCTCAAAATTGATAAACGGAGATACTAGCTTTCTGCAAATTGGGAAACGCGTTTGCAATTTTCTAAATTCAAATACCTTGAAGGTTCCGCCCCCAGGACACCTCCCCTGGATCCGTCACGCCACTGTGCTAGAGAGAAAGGCGGGCTTATATTCATAAATTTATTTCACGGTTATGATGATATCCAGTAAGGTACAAATCTATATTACCTTGTAACGAAAACAGCGTTTTCACTATCTAAACTCCAATTTATTACTCTTACACGAATTTACAACACTTGCTACTAGTTTACGACAAATCTATTACCATGCC